GCCCGGCCTCACTTTCCCTTTCCTAATATATCATCTCTTTCCATTTCATGAAAAATAAAAATATATAAATATATATCCATTAGATGAACTCGCACATCACATACATATTCACCATGGAAACTCAACAATTAAAGTTTTCTTTCAAGAATTACAATTATTTAATGTGAGAAAACTATATCTGTAGATTAAAGAAAAAAACTCACACACCCTAACAGATATCAGTTCTTCCTGATTTAACCAATAATTCACATAAACTTGAACTATAGAAAGTGTTTTAAGACATTAAATTAAAATGTTGACTCAGCTGAGCTGGGTGTAATGGTGTCTACCTGTAACCCTAGCATCTGGGAGACAGAAGCAGAAAGATTTCAAATTCTGTGTGAGCCTGTGCTCATAATGAGACGCTGTTTCTACTACTACTAATGCCTGCTGGGCCAGAGGTGCAAATGCTTAGCATTTGAAAGTCCCTGAGTTCAATACACCCTCCCCACCACACACACACACACACACACACACACACACACACACACACACCACAGCAGCTGGAATTTTCTTTTTCTTTTTTCTTTTTTTTAAGAAACTTGACTCATTTAAGAATATAGAGTGCTGGGTATTGGAGAGATGGCTCAGTGGTTAAGAGCACTGACTGCTTTTCCAGAGGTCCCAGGTTCAATTCCCAGCACCCACAACTCTCTGTGACTCCAGTTCCAGGGGATCTGACACCCTTACACAGACATACATGCAGGTAAAACACCAATGCATATAAAATAAAAATAAATGAATAAAAAAAAAGAATACAGAGCACTGGAAAGAGGGTTCTGAGGTTAAGAGTGTACACTGCTCTTGCAGAGGACCCAGGTCTGGTCACCACATTCAACTACCTCTAACTCCAAGGCATCTGATGTTCTCCGCGCTGTTTGTGTACCTGTTCAGGTACCTGCACAGCACAGGGCACACATAAACTCACACCGTGATGGCTATTCTTGGTTGTCAACTTGACTACACCTGGAATTATCAAAACCCAAGCTGCTGAATATCTGTGATGGATTTTTCTCAGCTGGATCGTTTGAAGCGGGAAGATTCGCACCTTCTGCTGCACATGGAAGAAAGACTTGCTATTTGCCTGCTCGACCTTTCTCCCTGGCAAGTTCATTCCTTCACTGCCTTTAGAGCCTACTGCAGGATTCCAACGCACACTGAAGACCAACGGAGACATCCTGCCTCATGGACCAAACAACTTTTATATCCTGGGGCTTTCCATCAGCAGACAGCATTGTTGGGATAGTCACACCATTATCTGTGAGTCACTCTAATAAATCTCATACATACACATATATTCACATAGATAGATATTCATGTTATCAGTTCTGTTTCTCTAGAGAACCCTAACACACACACATAAATAAAGTATACATGGGACAGTAATCTGTAAAAAGAGTCCACTCTGAAAAACAAAATGAAACAAAAATAAAGAGCTAAAGGGTAGACAGTGCACCAAGCCTTAAGACAAAACACACAGAGATATTTTATTTTTTATTCACTTTCGAGACAGGGTCTCATGCATCCCGGATGGCCTCAAACTCCTAATCCTCCTGTGTCTGCCTCCCCAGTGCTCAGATGACATTCACATACCGGCATCCCCACTCTGTGTTGTCCTGGGGATCCGACACAGGCTTTGTGCATGTTAGACAATGGCCAACAACTCCACACCCAACCCTAACCTCAGAGACTGTTAAGAAAAAGGAAGGGAAGAAGGAGGGAGGAGGGAGGGGAGGAGGGAGGAGGGAGGGGAGGAGGGAGGGAGGGAAGAAGGGCATGGCGGTGCAATGCCTTCAGTCCCATGCTGGGCAGATGGAGGCAGGTGACTCTGTGAGCTTGGGCCAGCCTGGTCTGCATAACAAGTTCCAGGTCATCCGGGGCTGCAGTGAGTCTGATGCAACACAAAAAAGGAGCAATGAATGAACTAGGGCAGGAGGCTGGGGTGTGGCAGAGATAAATATTTGCTAAGCATGGACAAAGGCTGCGGCTGGATCCTCAAAACAAAACCAAGTATCCGACAAACACAAGGACAAACAAGCCAACAGAAGAGAGAGAAAGCTTGCGAACAGGTCCACATGCAGCTGGACACAGGAAACGGGCAAGGCCGGAGCCGTGGGAAAGCCAACTTCCTTAGGAAAAGAGGGCTTCCCGGTCCGGCTCGCTGCTCCACAACCCTCGAGTGCTCCACTGTCTCCAGCTTCTTTGTTTGTTTGCTTTTGGTTTTTTTGAGACAAGGTTTTCCTGCATAGGCCTGGCTGTTTTGGAACTAGCTTTGTAGACCAGGCTGGCCTTGAACTCAGAGATCTGCCTGCCTCTGCTGGGATTAAAGGCCTGTGCCACCATACCCCACTCCCAGGTTTTTGGTTTGTGTTTTTTAAATTCAACATTTGTGTTTTTATGAAACACAACAGAAACTATTTAGAAACTTTGTAGAGAAAACTTGTTTATAACTGGATGTGGTGGCACACACCTATAATCTCAGTTTAGGAGGCTGAGGCAGGAGGATTGCCAAGTGTT